TCCTGGCACAATTACTTAAAAAGACTACTCGAAATTTTCTATTGCATATTCTTGGTACCCTTGTCAAAAATCATTGACATGAATAAGGCTTATATATAGACTCTCAGTTCTATTTCATTGGTCTAATCTTATGTCATTAGCAGACTGCCTTGAATGTTGCAGCTTGTATCTTGTTTTGAAATAAGGAGTATGAGATCTACAATTTTGTATTATGTTTTGAAATAAGGAGTATAAAATCTACAACTTTGATCTTTTTTACGATTCTTTTGATTATTCAGTTTCTTTCATTTCCATGTGAATTTTAGGACCAGATTGTCAATTTCTGCAAAACCATCAACTACAGATGAATTTGGTGGGGGGCAGAGTAATACCTTTTTAGTAAAGTTAAGTCTTCTGATTTCTAAACAAGGGTTGTCTTTTTCAGCCTCCTTTAATTTCTTTGCCCATTCTTTGCACAGTTTTTATTTTATAGGTTTTGCACTTCTTTCATTAAATCATTATGTGAAGTATTCTTTTTATGTTATTGTAAATGGAATTGTTTTCTAAATTTCATTTTTGGATTGTTCATTGCATAGAATTATAATTTTTAAATATTGATCTTGTATCTTGCAACCTTGCAGAAGTCTTTTTTTAATCGGACCTAATAGTTTCTCAGTGAGTTCCTATGGAGTCCTTTGATATAAGATCATGTTATCTGTAAAAGAGAGAGTTTTACTTCTTCTCTTCCTTTCTGGTTGATATTCCTTTTCCTTGTCTAATTGCCTTGACTAGAGCCTATAGTACATTACTGAGTAGAAGAAGTACTAGCAGAAATAGCCTTAACTTGTTTCTGACATATGGGGATCAATTTTCAGTCTTTCACCATTAATGTTGATATTAAGTTGAGGAGGTTCCTTCTACTCAGAATACAATATTTTTTTCATGAAAAGGTATTGGGTAAATGTTTTTAAAACCATTATTGCTTTTTATAATTTTTTACCTTATTGATACTATTGTATTTTAGATATCTAATTATTTTCAATAATTTTTAGAATATGCAACATTATCTCAAGTCTTTCTAGTCAAATTTGTATTTGACAGAATTTTCCAACTGTAATGATTAAAATTTTCTCCCTCCCCTTTTTTTTTTTTAATAGGAGTAACTTTATATATGGCTCATATTTGAGTAAAGAAGAAATTGCTTTCTCAGATCCCACTCCTGATGGAAAACTGTTTGCAACACAGTACTGTGGCACTGGTCAGTTTCTGGTATATAATTTTATTAATGGACAAAATAGTACCTAAAACAAATTCTTGCCTACAGTACTAGAAGACATCTACTGAAGAGAAATGGATTGGTTGCTGACTTTAACCAGGAACTAGGGCCATTTTTATTACAATGAACTCAGGACTGGCAACAGCCAAAAGGTTGTTCCATTTTCATAAAATTGGAAACAATGCAGTAATAGCTTATTATTGTTTTGTTTTTTAAAGAAGATATTTTATTATCTTTTACAGAAATTTATGATTGATGTATTTTATCTATAGTTATTTAGACATGTTTACATGCAGCAGATAATTGTTCATAGTGGACTGAAAACTAATGCAAGGACTATGGTCTCAGTGATAAGTACATTTTGAAGTTCTTAATATGGAAATATACCAGTGTAGCTTGGTACTGTATTTTTTATATTGATCTGCTGATACCAGTTATAGTTTTAAAGACTGTATTTTCACAGAGCAGAAACCCAAGGTTTTTGAGTTATACAGGGGGGTACAGTATTACATGTATAAGAATATGAAGCTAACTCTTAAAGGACCTGAAATATACTGTGAAGGCACTCCCTTAAAAATTCAAAGGTTCAAGTAAGAAAAAGCAGGAAGAATTTGTAATATTGAGCTTTTCGTTTTCATGCACAGGGGCAGGTTTACTGCAAGAAGGGAGAGAGGAGTAGAGAGTACTAGCACAAACAAAAGTGGGCAGAAAGAACAGCCCCTGAAAGGGACAGGTTTGCTGAAAGAGAGGGCTGCGTTGTCACAGGCGGGCAGCCCTGGGAGGAGAGCTGCCCCTGCTGCCTTGCAAAGGGAGAAGGCTGGTGAAGAGAGACACCTAAACGGTAACAGGCAGGCCGGCAGTTGTTGTTTTCTTTTTTAATATTGAGCTTTTTCTTCCATTTCTTTCTTTTCTATTCTCAATGGTAGGAAGAAATGGAAGGTGGTAAAGAATTGAGGCTTTCCTTAGTGGAGAGCAATAGATGACTAGAATGAGGAAGGTACCTTTAAAGTTTATCATTCTGTTTTTTTTAATAAATACCATCTTTGGCACACTTAGGCTGTTAACAAATCCCTAAGAGATTTATAAAAACCTATGGATAGTCACAAGCTAAATGTAGATGATTTGGTATCTGCTTTGTTATTCCTCAGAAATACTACACTGAGTATATGTCCTCATTACTGGACTTCATTTTGATACTTGTCTATCCTTCATAGTGCCCTCTACTTTTAAAGGGTTTATATGTTGAAAACTGCTGTGGCCTTTTTGACCTGTAAATAATGTAGAATAAAATAATAAAATACTTGATAGCTTTTTTTTAAGTGATAAATATGATAATGGTTTGTTGTCATTTGTGTTTTTTTTCAGGGAGTTTCTTAGGTTTGATACCTTGAAATATAACACTGACTTCTTAAAAGCCAATATTCACCAGTTTGCCAAAGGATCTAAATGTCAGCAATAACTGTTCTAAACTCTATTTCCAAAAGGCTAAAATCCTAACTTGAGAATTTTCTAATTGTTCAAAGAAATAAAGAGCCATAACCCAAGATTGAAATACTACTGTGGCTTAACAGATTAATTTTATAAGCTGAAATTATCATATCTCCATTAAAAACTGACTAAAATTAGGACTTCAAGATGAATAAGTATACATTTTATCCCCCTCTGAATAAAAAGGTGTGCTTTTTAAATTTTTTTAAAGATTTATTATTTATTTTATTTTTTATACAAGAGCTGGGGTACAGACCAGAGGCGCGGGAGGGCGAGAGGATTCACCAGAGACAGAGCGGGGAGCAGATCAGGCAGATGGACCGAAATATACTGCTGAGGGGAGCAGCAGGGGAGACAGGAGAGGTCTGCCACACCATGTGAGAATCTCCCTGGCCAGCTGGGAATCGAACCTCCACTGCAGAGGCTGCGGACAGCTTCACGGCGCTGTGCTCAACCTGATGTGCTGCCGGGGAGGCCCTGCTTTTTAAATTTATAGAGTAGTATAAGGTTCTATAGGCTTTATATGGGTGGAATGGTAAGACACTGTAAATATTTCATGATTGTGTGACTTTTGATACTCTTTCTTTCCCTTTGGACTTGAGGCTTGCTTGTCTAGTCACTCCTGGACTTATTGCTTGCCTGAAAAAGTGTGAACTAAGGATATTTATGAATTTAGTTATTTGAAGGTTTAGAAGAGATCATGATCCTGAGGTTTGTGAAATAAGGGGGTATGAGGGTTGTAATAAGTACCACTGTTTAAGAGTCTTACATAAGAGCAAGTGAGAAGACATGTGCAAGGTTAGAGAACGAGAAGAGAGTGTTAGAAAGCATAGAAAGAGTTTTAAGAATCAATGGTCAGCACTGTTCCAACATAGTTGAAAACTGAAGAAAATTCAAATGATGTTAGAAAAAGAAATGCAGTCCCCACAGAGTGATCAAGGCAGTCGTGGACACAGTGAGTATACACTGATAACCGCAGTCAAAAGAAGTTGATTTTATAAATGCTGATATATGAAGGGGCCTATGGTATTTTTGGCCAGCTGCCCTTGAATAACTGTTTAAGGCCATTATAAAAATATCTCATATCTATACAACTTAAGATTCACACACACAGACAGGAACCATGAAGTTTTTATCAGTTGTGGCTAGGCCTGTATGGACATGCAAGGGCTTACTTTGCAAGAATTATAAAATCAGTATGTTACCAGTTCATCCAATATGCAAGCGTGAATTTGGTGTGTCTACTACAAGCTTAACTAGCAGTAGAACAGTAAGTATAATAGACATACATGATACCTTAATTGTTTTGCTTGCTTTGCATGGTTGCCCAGCTAGTATCTGGATAAGAAAACAACCATATTCTTGCGTAGCATTATTTACCAGGGGCTAAGATTCCTGCATTCATATTTGAGGTATTGACTGCAGACGTATATTATCTACCTATTCTCATGGCCTTCTGGCAGATAGGGAAGGTTCTGTCTTACAACAATCTCCTTTCACCCCTCTAGTTAAAAATAAAATACATTGAAATGCTTATAAAATGAAGAAGAGGTCAGAAATCAACTTGTTGCTTTTTCTTACCACTTATTCCATCTGTTGTCATAGTTTTGAAGTAGGTGCTTTCCCTAGGGTCAGTACTTGACAGTTATAAGAACAGGTACTTTGTTGAATAAATGTCCTTTCCTTGGTCTCAAAAACCCCTTCTGAAATCATTGTTAGTGATTTTTTTCTGCGAAGCCAGGGTTTCAGTATTATAGCCAATATTGTACTGGACACGAGAACTTTAAAAGGCAATTTCCATGAATAAAGAAAGGACTGAGGATTGTGTGTTCCCTGGATGCTGTTCCAGCCCTAAGTGGTTGAATACGAAGGTACAGCAGTTTCACAACTTTCAGTCTTTGCAAAGCACCTGCTTTGGGATATGTAGCAGAACACTGACAGTTTCTGCTCACTCCTGAATCTGTCACGTATGCACAAATATTTATTGCCCCTCTCTGTGCGGTACCTTTACCCTAGAAGAGTAGTTTGATGGTTTTATATCAAATTTTATTATTTTAGCTCTTCACATAACAGAACTGAAAGGGAATTTTCTAGATTCAGTTATTTCTTCTGAAGAGTAGGTAAAATTTTGTAGCGTTTATAAATGGAATTGACACCTTAGATCACACTACACAGTTCTAGCAACCCAAAGGTGTTCATCTAAGGACACCAAAGTAAGTATAGTTGCCATAGATAAAAGATTATGGATGTACTACGAATATTAACATCTCTTTAATTTTAAATCTGTCATCTTTATGTGTAACTCTGTAAATACATGTGGTTGTAGAGGCTTTTGTGTGTGTGTGTGTGTGTGTGTACATGTATCTGCTTCATGTATGTAAAAGCCACTGATTTTAATTCATCGATTAATTGGCACTTACTTGGGCTATTAGGCCAGAATAGTAGACTCTTTGTCATTCGATCTTTGATATATGGATTTCTCACCTTGCTTAGGCATTGCCAGAGTTACAAAGCTCGTTCCAGTTTTTGAAAATGCCAGAAAATTAGTTTAGAGAAAACAAGCTTTCGGAGGGGGGAGAGAATTTTAATACATTCACCAAATTAAACGATAGGACAAGAACATAGTGTAGACACAACTTAAGACAATTTAGAATCATAAACAAAATGTGAGGTAGACTGACTAGTGAAATTCACCAAATTTTGGTTAAGAAAATTTTACAGTAATAAAGTAACATAGGTGCCCCATTTTCTAAAAATCACAGAAAGCAATTGCATAAATTACAGCCAAAAAAAAAAATGAATACAATGATTCTCATTCTAATTTTAGTTTACATTCAGTATTAACCTGTGTGAACTGGCATCCACGGCAAGTTTCAACAGGTCTATAGGTCAATTATTATGCAGGCCTAGCGAACACATTCATACCACAATGTTAAAGAGATGGCAAGGCTTGAAGCTGAACACACCAAGGTATGTATTAACAAATTGTGGTGTCCTGTGCTTGTGCAATTTTATCCTTAAAGGAGTAGGACTTAACATTCTCTAAAGAATTATACTGATAAGGTGATTTTAAAAGATAGAAACCTTGGTGAGACAGGCATTAGAAAGACAAGGAGGTCAATTTGAATTTTCTATCATTGGGTTGATGGCCTTTTGGCTTTATTCTGGCAGTTCTCTTCCACAGAATTAATAGTATATAAGAAATTGTAGTCATTTCAGTTCTCAGAGTAAAGCTCTGAAATACCTACATCTAAAGTAAACTCTAAAAAATTTTTCCTTAGAGTATAAAGCCATAAAGCCAGAAGAAACCCTGAGAAGCCATCTGCCCAGGTACACATGCTTGGAATTATTTCAAGTATTTTTTTTTTTTGCTCTATACAGTAATTATCATTGGAATATTGCACAAACATGGGTTTCTTGTTACTATCTGTATTAGGTCTTTTCAGCAAAACAGGAACAACTGAAATACATTCATATCTAAATCAACCTGCTTCAAAACGTACCTCTTTGCCAAAAATTCTGCTGTACTTAATAGGAATATTTTTAAGCATATATATATATATATATATAAGGCAGATTCTCTTTGAAGAACAATTAAAAATAGGGTTGAAAGGAATTAACTCATTTCAGAATACATTTAAACCATCATAAGTAGTTATATTAAAACTGAGAGCTGCAAATCATTTTCAGATTAGTACATTGCATCTTTTCACTAGCTGTAAACTCGTTATCACAAGCCAGTAGAGCCCGTCAGTTAATACTTTCTTTGTTCTAAGTAAATGTAGGCTTAGTAGGCCCCTCTCTGTAGTTTCAGGCCACAAATTAGACATTGATTCAAGTTAAAAAAGCCATTTTAAGGAGGAATAAAGTGGTATATTCGGCTAATGAGAAAAATGTTGAAGTGTTGTTTAATGATGAGAATTGAAGCATTTAAGAGTAAACTTCCCAAAGAGACTTAATTTGTAACATCACTTTCTAGAAATCCGTACAAACTTACGCCTTCTACAGTTGATAAAGACACAGCCCCACTTGATTATTATGAGTCAAAAGGACTTTAAATGGATTCTTCTCTCTTGTAAAAGAATCACTGGTAAGATTATGTAAAAAACAGTTCTCTTTCTTTCTGTGGCGCCTTTTCCCATTCCAGCAATTTCTATGTTGTCAGTACAAGGCAACTAATATTCATCCAGTGTATCTTTTAAAGGAAGCTTTGATTGCATCCCTGAAAGGAAACAAACTAATTCCAATCCACAGGGAACCTTAGCCTGACATTTACTTTGCTGGTGCCAGCTACTTCATTTCAACCAAACAGGGCAGTTGTGGGGTGACTGTTGAAAGCTTCTTAGTTATTGGCTCAACTATTGAGTCAGGTTCTCCTTGTACAAGGTTAATCACGGTTCCATATTCTCAGACATGGTGTGCTTAGAGACTGCAAACATTTTAATAGAAAAAGCAAAGGAATTTAAGCAAGAAGCTGCATAAATGCACACACGCCTGCTCTGTATTTACTGATGTTTTTTGTTCAGTTTAAATAGTAAACTTTTAACTCCTGTGGAAATTTTGCCAAAAGTTTCAATACATATAAGATTATAAATCTTAAGCTAACACTGCACAGAGAAAGACAAAGCTACTTTTTTTTTAAATACAAATATCTTCTACATTCTATCATTTCAGACCCCTGAGTAAAATGCTGTACCAAAGTACAGCTCTGAAGAGAAACTGAGGGTTCAGGCCTCAAACGTTAATCTTCAATTAATTCCACACCAATGGTGTGAGTCTCATGTAACACATTCAGGCTAGCTAATGCTGAGCGTCAGATTTCCTCCTAACTTAGTGTTGTAGATAAAAACAATGCAAATTTCATTCATGTTTGTTCTCCAAAGTATGTCCTCAGGCTCCCATGGGCAGGCCTTGTCTTAAGGAATTGCATAACTGCCTAGGGTGGAGTTAACCTGGATTTAAGGTCCTGAAATTAGAACTGAAGGAGAATGATGCCCCCAAAAAACCTAGGTCAGATTTGGGGGGGATTCTTTGGAGAATAGACAAATATGTTGCACTTTGCTCCACAGTGATTGTACTTTAAAGGAAAAAATAATTTGTTTCTGCCCCACCCCACCATCCCTTTACTACTTTCCGTCTCTCGAAAGCTCATACATGACGTCCAGTGAGAAAGTAGAGGGGCTTGTCATCACTGCTGTTAGCAGTTTGAAACTCATCCCGGAGGCGGAACTGCCACTCATCCTCTAGTTCTAAGCGGACAATTGTTTGGCGTAAGGAGCTTCTGTCTTGGCAGATGACACACAGGGTAGCACCTTCAGGAGAAAGAATGTATCTTAGGCTTGAATGTATCTTAGGATTGTAATGATAGAGAACATTAAACCTCTCTGATAGGCTCTAAAGTAACACAGCTAAGACCAAACATCAAAATTATTCAAAAATAAATAAAAGAATAGTACGAGTTCAAAAGTTCAGAAGAGTGTAAAGTGAAAACTCTCCCTACCCAGCAGCTAAATCCAGTCTTACACTATTTCTCATATTACACGTTTGCCTCTAGGGGAGGGTCTCTCAGTCTCAGTACTTCGCTGTGAGGGGCTGTTCCGGTTCTGTCAGGTGTTTATAGCTCCTCTGGCTTCTGCTTGCTATATGCCAGTAACACAACTCCAGGGTGACAACCTAATATGTCTTCAGATCTTGCCAAATGTCCCCTGGGTGACATAATTGCCATACGCATTCTGCCTCAAATCTCTGCTCCAGATGTATTTTATACAAATAAGTGAATATATCATTTTTTCTGTTCTCATAAAAATGGTAATATGCTATATACAGTATTCTGAACCTTTTTCTCTGACTTGGAGGTTATCTTATCAGGATTATTTGTGATGCTTAATCCGCAGTTCTTATGCAAATCTCTCTGCATGGCGCATGACTTTTGGAACATCTTTATCTTCTGTATCAGAATCAATTCATTAATTTTAATAAAAATCAGGTTATGTGAGAAGCATTACTTCTTGCACTGCATCATTTCTAAAATTAATATGATCATAAATCTGGCTGTTCATCTGCATTTAGTTTAGGATAACTTGACTTATTCTCCCCTGTCGTCATCCCCATTAAGAAAATCAGTAAAGTGAAAAGGCTTCCCAACTACATCCCTTCTTTCCCTGTTTTAAAAGCAAGGTATTCTATATTGTCAAAAATATTGTTAAAGTGCTTTTCTATCTTTTCCATCTCAATATTCTGTCTAGGGGTAATCGTTAACATCCAGAAGCAAGGTTCAAAATTTACCTTTTAGAAACTTAAATTTCTTAAGAAGATCAGCACCTACAAAAGAGTCACAGAGGTACAAGAGAAGTCCACTGAAAAACACCCCCTCACAGTTGACATTGCTGGAGTGGGGCCTGGAGCTGATGTAGCATATAGCCACCTGGAATCAAACAGAAATAGTGTAGGCATCTCAGATGCAAGCAACAACCCGCATTTTTAGCTGAATAAGTCAGGTTCTTTTTACTATTTCAGGGTAAGGTAAAAAAATGATTGTTTTACATTGAAATTTAAGTGAAATGGTTACTTAAGCTTTACACATACTATTGTGTCAAAGTTTAGCCTATTTAAAGCTTCTCTTATTTCTCATTAAGAGAAATGGTTATGAAATTAGTAAGAAACAAAAAAGTCCCTTGATTTCAAAGTTTTCATGAAATAAAACTTTCCACAAAAAGACATACTTTGGAAAGATTAAATACTTAGATTACCTTATTGATAATAAAAAATACGCTTAATAAACTTTTCATTTACATAAACTTTCAATTGGATAGAAGCTTTGAACAGTGGATGAGTTTAAATTATTAGCCCTATGGCTTCTATGTACATAACATTACTTCACAAAAATAGGAATGTGAATAAGGTAGTTTGGGAGACAGAACAGTGAAATAGCTTAATACGTGAGTCAGACTGCTTGTGTTCAGATACTTTATAGCTGTGTGACACCTCAGTTTTGTTCATTTCTTGATACCTCAGCTTCCTTGTCTTGTAGAGATAACAATAGTACCTGATGCATAGGACTATTTTGTGAATTACATAATTAATGCAAGCCACAGTATTCATTCAGTAATAGCTGCTATTAGTGGTTGTAGAATTGAGATAGTATTGCCTTAACACCCACACCTCTGGATTCTGTGATGGCAGAATTGGAAGACCTGGGTTATATAGCTGACAGAAATTATAGAAGATATTATTACATCTGATAGGCTTTTTCTTCTTCTAAGACTCTACAATTCCTGATCCAACTCTTAAACTATTGAACTATGAGAATGATGTAAAATGTTTACACTAATTTTAAAAACCAGTTTCTAAAATTTCCAGAATTGAATCCTAACGTTGGATTTCAGTATTAAGAGATATTTGTGAATACATGCAAAGAAAAAACTGGAAATAAAAGTAGTTTGCCAAAGTGTTATGTTCTAATTACATGTGTTATATTCTAACTTTTTTTTCAAATTTTATTTTTTAAAAGATTTATTTTTGCATAGAAGAACTGGGGTGTAGGCCAGAGGTGCAGAGGCTGAGAGGATTCACCAGAGACAGAGTGGGGACCAGAACAGGCTGATTTACTGAAATACACTGCTAAGGGGAACAGCAGGCGAGATAGGTAAGGTCTGCTGCTCCATGTGGGTAGCTCCCTGGCTGGGGATTAAACTCAGGCCATCGCGCTGATAGTGCTGAGACTTAACTAACCGTAGGCCACCAGGGAGACTCCAATATTCTAACATTTAAAAAAATTATAAGGAGGATATAGTAAAAACAATACAACTTTAAAAATGTATCGGAAAATATTGTGACAGAAGCCCTTTAAATCCTGAAGACCATCAGTAGTCAGAAAAATCATGAAAAGTATACAAGAGGCAATTAAAAAAAAACACAACTGGTGAAGAACTTGAGAGAGAGCAAGAATGAAAACTGAGGAAGCAATGAAAAAGTCAAGTAGTGGGAATTGGAGAAATGACAAGTATAAAGGTATCCCATGATACTCTAAATTGTTCAGCAGTCGTTGAGATTCTCTTAAGATGGTGGCTAAGTCATACTGTGCCAAGTGAAAACTCAATTTTGTGGAGAAACATTACACGAATCCGGTATTGTGTGAAACGTGTTATGACAGGAAGGAGTAGGAGCAGGCAGCTGTTTCTGTCCAACATCTCTGAGGTAGGCTTCTTAGCAAAGCTGAGCTCTGAGCTAAGCTTTGAGTATTATGTTCACTGGCCTTTAAGGAGAGGCAAAGTAGGTACAGGGATCATGTTTTGTGTGAGACTTTGTATAAGTATGGCTCAGGCTTTTGTCGTCATTTAAACTTTCAAACAGTAGATAAAATGGGAAAAACGGATGGAAGGAGGTAAAAGCAGAATATTAGCCCCTTCCAATTTACCTCTGGTCCAATGTTAAGGTAGGAGTCAATGGCCAACACAGGACTCTTGAAGTTATGGATGGCTTTGGGGAAGAGTTTGTATGAAGCATGCTGAAGAAACTTCTCCAGGAGAAACTGCGCGGGGGCTGCCAGTAGCGTGTGTTCACTGTCTGGAGCACAGACATACTGAAGGGGCAAGATGGGTGCCAGGATCTCTGACACCTGAAATGAGAGCCGAGATTATCATGGGAAATGTTTTCTGTCACTCAATGAAGTGGGCAAGGAAGCACTGCATCACACTCAATGGCCTCTCAAATGATAGTGGTAGTATAGTGACAGATCCAGGTTCAAATGTAAGCCCATCACTTTTGGGTTCTGAAAGGTACAGTTGGGTTTAACATAATTTACACACAGCAAGGTTAGGGAAAAATGAAAAAGTAGGCTTCTTTGAAAGTTACTGCATTTAGCAAGTACATTGTGAGGATCAATAGGAAGCCTTTACAATACTGCTGGATATGAGTGGGTTAAATTCCATCACATCCCAACTCCCCAACCCCCCTAAAAAAGGAAAAGGCTTCTAAGCTCCACTGGGGTGTCCACATGTTAATTGCCAGTGGATCTCAAACAGAAAAGGGCAAGCCCATGGGATTTACCCTTAAAAGGTTGTGATGTACATTATTTTCTATTAAAATCTGGCAATGGACTAGAGACCATTTTGACTTCTTTTTTAAAAGATTCATTTATTTATGCATACAAGAGCAGGGGTGCAGGCCAGAGGAACAGGAGGTGAGAGGATCCACCAGAGACAGAATGGGGAGCAGAACAGGCAGATCTACTGATGTATACTGCTGAGGGGAACAGTGGGCGAGACAGGAGAAGTCTACTGCGCCGTGTGGGTAGCTCCCTGGCTGGGGGTTGAACTCACGCCACAGTGGCTGGCGATAGCTTGAAGGCGCTGAGACTCTATAACCCTTGTGCCACGAGGGAGGCCCCATCTTGACTTTTTAATTTTACTTTATGTGTTACATGAGAAAAGTGTTAACATTTCATATTGCTAAACTAGCAAAGTAAAGTTTGAAACAGAATCTTTATCGAGTTGCTAATGAAATCTAAATAAGGGTAATTCTGTTGAAACTTCAAAGCATGTTTAGATTGTAGTGAGTCCTCACTAAGAGAAATGAGACTAGAAGTTTGACTTCTATAACCTTACTTTTCAAGCAAGTGGCACGTACTTAGTGCCAGTACCTAATAACAAAGATCAGAAATTTTTGACTTATATCTAACAGTAGAATCATGCTTGTGAAACTTACCATGATCTTTGGTTTGATGATAAAGTCCCTCTGCCCTCCAACCTGAACATGTTTCTTCATGAGGCTGAAGTTATTAAAACGGCAGATGAGTAGGCCACTACTGTTTGTTCTCAGGTTGAAGTCGACATCTTCACAGAAATACCTGAATCATATAGGAGAGGTTTCATTGACTGCCTTTTAAACCTCAACAGAAAGTGTGGCAGGTGTTAGGAGATAGCCACAAACAAAATCACCTTGACCCCTCCTGGAGCTTGCCCTCCTAACATGCCCAAGACCCCCAGATTTGAATATCATGAATATTAAAGGAAGAAGCGGGGTGACTTTGGTCCCAGACACTCCATGGGGTTTTAGGCACACCTGAACTGAAATAGGGCTGTACACTCTATACTCTTGCAGGCAAGGTTGACATAACAATGACTTTTTGGTTCTTCTGCTATCTAGGATGATAACGTAATTGGTTGAGGTGGCAAAGCCTAGGGTTGGACTGCTCACATCTGCTGGTTTCTGTCTATAATATTCAGCTCTCTGGGTCTTATATTTGAAGAGTGATTAAATTCTGAGTGTGAATGAAGAGTTAATCTTCAATAATTTATGGGTCCACACATAAACAGGCTTTAAGTTCTTGAATAATGAGGTGGCTAAAGTATGTTTTCTGACCATTTCACATTGTAACACCTATTATTGAAGGTCTGGGTTAGTTTGAAGGATGATAAAGGGGGATGTTGTGAGTTGTGTCCCCTCCCCACTTTGTCCATATGAAGAGATTCTCAGTTTCTCAAAGACACAGGAATAAAAAGGTTAAAACTAGGCAGAACAATCAGGATTAATTGCATTCAGGAGGCCTGACTTACCTGTTGAAGTCATACTGCACATTCTGAGTCAAATCTATGTTAAGGAGAATGAAGTCATGCACATGGCACCTCGAGAAGGGGGCCTTCAGGCTCTGGGAAGTCAGCTTGCTGCTCCATTTCTGTATGCCCAGGATTGCATAGTGAATGATTTTTGGTGTTGCTTCAATATGCTGCAAGACACTCTTCAAGGACACATTCTTACTAGAAACTCCTGTTTCCATGGGCTGGCTGTGAAATATAAAGGTAGTTTATATAAGGTATCAGTAACGTTGAATGGAGGATCATTTATGAACTACTATACAGTATTTATATCTGTAAAGGAAATAATCAGCTGGTTTACTTTGCATTAACCTGGAATGGCGAAGGATGCTGAACCCCGGTGTCATGCTGCCTGTCACTGCAAACTTAAGGAAGCTGCCACTTTAGAGCAGGGGCTTAATCACCTTAAGGCAAAGAAAGAATTCCAGCCCATAATACCTCAAAGTGAATAATGAACTGGGAGCTACTAAAAAGGTTGCCAGAGATTAGAATTAAGTATAATTCCCAGTTCTGGTTATTCTGGTTATAAAAAAGGGATGTTTGAAAACTTCACTGTCTTCAAATCTACAATGGAAAGAACACAAAACCAAAATGTTTGAGCTTTGGGGTGTATAGATCATCTGACATGGGGCTATGCTGGAGTACCATTGACATTTTGGGGGCTATTTATCACATAAGACTTCCATGTCTAGGGCCTCCCTGGTGGCACAAGGGTTAACATGCAACCTATGAAACTATCCGCAGCCACTGCAGCACAAGTTCAATTCCCGGCCAGCTGGGGAGCAACCCGCATGGTGCAGCAGACCTCTCCTGACTCGCCTGCTGCTCCCCTCAGCAGTGTACTTCGGTCAGTCTGCCTGTTTTGTTCCCCACTCTGTCTCTGGTGAATCCTCTCACCCACCCACACCTTTGGCCTGTACCCCAGCTCTTGTATGCATAAATAAATAAATCTTTAAAAAAAAAAAAAAGACTTCCATGTCTGGCATTCTCTGGAACTTGGGGACCACTTCACCACTATCCAGCAGGAGAACCTCTGATTTTGACCCAGCGATACTTTTACAGGTGGTAGAATTAAGACAGAGAGATAAAATAACTGCTTTTTCATCCAGATAGTTATGATCCAAAGCTTGGGGTCAAAAAGGGGGTGTCCTGATTTAGAAGCCACTAGACTTTTTAAACAAAACATAATGTCTCAACAGACTTTCATAGCTAACCAAAGTCACGATGCAGAGATTTTCAGGAATTTAATGGCATACCAAATGTCTCCAAAAGTTCCTCAGTCACCACAAAATGTGCTAGTGAGTGTGGTTTCATGGATGACCATTTTGCTCTGTAAGGCTGTACCTCTTATTTACGTCCATGCATGACTGCAGTCAAGGAAATATCTTCTATAGTATTGTCATACTCCCCTAAAACTGCTTGGGAAGTATCACTACCTGGTCTGCTCCTGAAGACTGTGAATGTTCCACAGGACACATGAGTCGTCCATCACGACGATGAAAGGCCAGACACACTGGCGTTTAACTCCCAGCTCTTCCAGGCGGTTCCTCTCTAGTTCCAGGTTGTGATATGAGAGCTCCTTAATGAGAAATCTGGCCGCACCTGGAAGGCAACATAATGACAGCTGCACATCCTTCTTCAGGCTTGGCAGAGGCCCCACAGACAGCTCACATCCTTCCGGAGGCATGCGTGTCCATATGGTGACCATGCAGGTGTGTGTGGGATGTTAACCAAATACTCAGAGCAGTGTTGGTAAGAACCACTGGTCTATTTTAAAATGTAGATTCTCTTTATCAAAGCAACATTGGCTTACTACACTATATGATTTTTTTAAAAAGGAAAAAAAAAAATTCCCAGGAACTTATCACCAGAGATGTTGGCATGATGCAGATGACTCGTGAACTAAGCTTTGAAAAGTGCTACAAGAATCTAGTTTCGGGCCTCCCGGTGGCGCAAGGGGTTAAGCACCGCACTATGAAGCAATCCACAGCCTCTACAGCACGAGTTCGATCTCTGGCCCACCAAGGAGAAACTCACATGGTGAGGCAGACCTCTCCTGTCTCTCCCGCTGCTCCCCTCAGCAGTGTATTTCGTCAGTCTGCCTGTTCTGTTCCCCGCTCTGTCTCTGGTGAATCCTCTTCCACCCCTCCCCTCCCCCCTGCATCTCTGGCCTGTACCCCAGTTCTTGTATGGAAAAAAAAAATCTTTAAAAAAAAAATTAAAAAAAAACTAGTTTCCCTACAGGGAGAAAGGTTAGCACATAGACTAAATGCTTATTATATAGGTTAGTTCCTAAAAGTCACAAAATGAAGGGACTCGTTCTTTGAAGCACCTTGTACTAGAGAGTGGCTGGGGCTGGGGTAAGGGGTGTGGCTCTTCCACTAATGTGTCCTGTGCTTAAGATACTGTTAGGAAATTTGCATCAGTGAACAATATCTTTGAAGATTCTGAAAACGAGCATCCTTTCTCTAGATCTGCCTTTTTTTTTTCTTTTTTTGGCAAGATGCAAATGATACAGTGAGCACAAGAACAGACAGGAGTTAAGCTGCCTAGGTTTGAATCCTCATTCCACCATTTTATAGCTGTGTGACCCTGAACAAATTAACTCCCCTGTGCCCTGCTTTCCCCACCTGTAGAAAGGCAAAGATAATGTCTGCCTCATAGGTGGCTGTATGCTGCTCAGGATGGTGCCTAGAATGTGCTAAGTACGCAGAGTGTTTGCTGTTGTTAAGGTGACCATAAGGAATTAGCCAATTTCTGTTTAGGGCCGCCTAAGTGCAAAAAAATGTAGATGATAAATGAAGAGGAACTAGACAAACATAAAGGGTAACATGAAGGCTAAGGCTTAAGGATATGAAAAGGAGTGGAAAGGAGAATAAAGGGAATTGAGGGAGACACAGAAGTGGGGGAACGGAAAGAAATCCTGTAAAGAAGGACCGTGTAGACTCACACAAATGACTCAGGTCACCTCTGCTGTTCAAGCCAGCCCTGTGCTAGATATTCGTTCTTCCAAATGTTAATGAGCTCATGTCCTCAGCCCTTCTGAGGCTGCACTAAAAATGAGACACTCACAAAAACTGGGAAAACTGATTTAGAACTACAATGCAAGCCGTGACCAGACAGTACAGCTTTTAAAACACTGGGTCCAGTTAGAAGTTTTCCACCTGAGTAAAACTGAGTTCTAGACTTCGGTGCCTCCCACAGGTCTGTCATACACACACCCATTGTGTCCCTTGGAAGAAATCAGCCCATGGGGAAAAGGCAGGGAAGACTTCCAGGCACTTTCAAGATGACGGCCATAGGAGGGAATGATGCTTTTAACTCCTGGGTTGTACAGAAACTTACCATGAGCCTTTAATATTAGCCACAACTTGGGAACTCCAGAACAGTGAGCTAGCTGCTTTCCTCCCCAGACCTCTCTCACTGTTACATTCCTGCTGCAAGTGTGCTCAGCCTAGAACACTCCCATCTACACTGGTGCGTCCCAAGCCCTTCCCAGGGTACGCGATATACCGCTGGCTTTTTTAGTTACTAGTCCTCGGAAGTTAAAACTGCAGATCAAGGGAAAAGAAAAGTCAACAGGCCTTTCATTTGGAGGGGAGGGCAGGACACTTTCCAGAGATGGGAACCTTTGAAAGTTTAATCCCTTGAGGAAGGGAGCTCAGTTTATCATTCAGCCCTCACCCCATCCCAGGGAGGCCCCTTACCCACGCCTGCATTATTGAACATGCCCGGAAGCACCAGCATGATGTGGTTGGGCCAGTACTTGCGGTACAGCGGCATCTCGTATTCTTTGACCACCAGAAGGTGAAGGTGGCTGATGCCCTCCATGGCGTGAAAAAGATTTAGGAGTCCATGCTCATGGCGACCACTGGAAGGAGTGAAAATAGGGCTCTTCACTGCATTCAAATTCTGTTGCAAGGAAAAAAAGAGCGAGAGAAATGAAAATCCTTAGGTATAAGAAACTTAGAGCACCAGGACCTCCCAGGTGGCAGGGGTTAAAGTCAGCACTATGAAGCAATCAGCAGCGACTGCAGCATGAGTTTTATCCCCTGCCAGAGAGCAACCCACCTGGTGCAGCAGACCTCTCCTGACTTGCCCCCTGCTCCCCTCAGCAGTGTATTTCAGTCAGTCTGCCTGTTCCGCTCCCCACTCTGGTGAATCCTCTAACCCTCCCACAACTCTGGCCTACATCCCAGTTCTTGTATGCATAAATAAATCTTTAAAAAAAAAAAAAACTGAGAGGACCCGTGTGAGCCTGTCAGTACTTGTGTCCCAACACTATCACACACCTTGTCTGAAACCAGGGGCAGCCGCATGCTCTCCAGGTGTTTGCCCTGCTTGCTGAAGACAAAATGACTCTCTTTGGATTTAGGAATGATGAAATAGAGCTGCACCTCTTCTCCCAGCATGGAGGAAGAGAAGGTAAATGCATGAAGGGTGGAATCTGACATCTACATTTGCAAAGAAAAAAAGAGAATGTAAGCGCACAGTGTACAATCTTCCAGGCCACTTGCCTAGAGAGGTTGGCTAATCTGAACTGACGGACACCACCAGATCTGGCTCTGTGCACAAAGTTGAAAGGGTTGAGAAGGTGAGCGTTTTTGTCTTTAAGTTGTGGCCATCTTGCCCCTACAAAGCCTCTCCATGGTGGAGGGAGAGGTACCTGTTCTTTGCGTTTTTCGAGTTCTTTGAACCATAACTCAGTCTCACAGACATTAAATACACTGATGCCCTGCTCTGTAAACATCCTCACAGTGCCCAGTTATAGGGAAGAAAAACACTTCTGCTTTATGTGGGTCAGGTCAAATGAAGTCAGTATTTTTCTAAGCAAAATACTAGGACTAATAGTAAAATGCTCTGTGCCCTCACTTTTCCTGGCTACAAGTGGAAGAGGTCTGAACGGTCATTTAGCCTGGAAGTCTGCTTTCGGGAAAGACCATTTAACTCACCAAAGCTAAATATAAATCTAATCTATTTTTGAAGTTGCTGGAAAGTTCAAATGCTCTCTCACTAACCAATCTGAAAAATTACAAGAAGGTCTTTACATGTTTTACAGTGCAGACAATATTTGCCTTAATGAAAGGATAGCATCACTTTCCAGCAACAGCTAGGACCCAGAAAGGTTTCCCAAGTGTTTAAATATCACATTTCATAGAAAAGTAATATAATCTGTCCCTGAAATGCTTGTTTCATTCTGCTGCTTTGATTTGTGTGGGAATATGCTTAGTATTGTAACCATATAGAAACAATATACTTGGGTTTTAATTAAGAAATTTTATAAAAACCTGATTTTTAAGCTAAGGGACTCTAATTTTTCAAAACATTGTGAGCCAATTTGAAGCCAAAATTTTTCAATAGCCCACCAAAAGTTTTCAACAATACCACAAAACCACCAGGATATAAAAGGTAACATGTATTACAAGAGCAGAATGATTTGATACAGATTTTCAATATATTCTTTCTAATACCCCGTGGGGAAGGGTGAAGACCTGCTCCTCAAATGTGGGGGAAGTCCAGTCAGCATATCCCATGGGAAGCGTCGTTGGAGGTATTCAGAGCCAAGTAATAAAAATCAAGAAGCGATGGAACTTATCTCCAAACTATGCACTGGACACGACATCGTTTGCTGCCTTTCCCATCTTCTGTACTTAAAGGTGTACTGACCAAAAAGAAGCCAAATATTGTGGGGTGTTGCCTTACATTCTGTGTTCCTACTTCTCAGGTCTCTCTACATTAAAGAGCAGACATTGATGCCACTGTATACCTAGTGAAACCATGTCGCGCTGGGGTAAACTTGACTAGCGTGGTACACATCAAAGACACGTTAGAATCACAGCATCATGGGCACACCCCATGGTTTTTCATCAATACAAAGGGGGAACGACCCTTTTAACAAATATACCATAATTAGGTTTTTTTCCCCCCAGAACCTCAGAGTAAGAGCTACTCTCTAGCCTACACATGATACATGTAATTGGTTTGTTTCAAGTGACTTAAAGCATAAAACTCAGCCTTCCTCTCTTTCCCTCCCCTCCAATCCTAGTAAACCCAAAGCAATTTTAAGCTATTGTTTAATGCATTTTGCTTCCCAGCTAGCACCTCCACCTCACAAATAAGCAATCCTTTGTCTAGGAGGTGAAGCTGGTAGCCTTAATTTGCACGCCTTCCCTAGGAGGTCCAGTGAGGTACTGGCAGGGGCGGGGGCGGGGGGTGGGGGGGCTGCACCTGGGAAGCAGAGGTGAAGTCCATGTACTGGTGGCACTGCTCGCAGTGGTGGAAGGTGTTGTACGCTGCGTACTTGGTCAGCATCATGGACACCGTTTCTCGTTTCCTGGGTTCTTCAACTTTGGGTTCCTTTATTGCTTCTGTGTATAAAGGGGCAAAAACCCTTCCCATGATATGCGTGAAGCCCCTAGGCCTGGGAAGAAAGTCCTCGACACCCCCAAAGAGCATTTCAACGGATTCTATAACTTAAGCCCTGAGAGCCAGGGATGAAGATGGAAAGGCAACATGTATGTGTGGAAGAGAAAAGAAAAGCGGAGAGGCAGGTTACTTAAACCCTTAAAGATGAAATTCCCCCAGTCCTCCTGCCCTGACTTCGGTGCCCCTTGACCTCAGAGGAGGATAGTAAGCTTGGCTCCTCTTGCACTGACCTTTTTTGACCCCGGATAGCTTCTCAGTATACACCAGGCTCATCAAACTGTACTTGGGATCATGCACACTGACGTCAAAGGGCATTTTGCTGAAGGTCTCGATGTCAGGCCAGGGCTCTCCCTCTGACTGGCTTACTTCACTGCTCTCACTGTGATCTAGGACAAAAAGAAAGAAAGTGCGCAGAACAGGCCGACTGGTCTCTTGACCTCCATTCCAGGTGTCAGAGAGGAGAGGTTTTAGCAAACAAAGCCCAGGTGGGTGGACAGAGCCATTTCTGAAAAAGGAGCCTCTCTGTACTTGGGGAGAGGGAGCCAACATTGTCCATGCAGACCCATGCTGGGAGGGACGCTGGCCCTCACAAGCCCCCCTCGTTAGGCTCTCTACCCATGCATTCATGTGCAGAGGTCAACTGAACCTCCCCCACCCCAGCCCCCCTGAATTTCTCTAATAAAAGCTTTTTAAATTTTGGATAATATAAATTCTTAGACTCTTAGTTGTGGGATTTTAAGATACTGATTTGAACAGTGCATTGGGCAAAATTCCCAATGTCTGCTGCATATTAGAATCACCTGGGATATAGTCAAAACCCCTGTGGTTAGGTGCCCCCCTTATCTCTTTTGTTACCCAGGCACCTGTTGTGATGTTTAAACTTCCTTAGATGCAGTCAGGTCTGAGAAGCAGACATGAGTTTGAGTCCGGATGATGTCCTTTACTACTCACCTGTTGGCACCTTCACCCCACAGGGTTCCCTAATTCTTGTAAGGATTCCAGATATTATGCTGAAACTGCTCAGAGAGTGGCAGGCATATGGGGGGTGTCCACTTATGATATTTATTGTCATTAATATAAGTTATCAAAAAGTTTAAGGCAACTTTCAAGGGGCGAAAGGAAGAAAAAGCTTTCCAAAAGAAGCCTAGAGATTTGGATATTTTCCCGAAGCATACAGATGGCCCATAGGCACCAGAAAAGATGTTGGACATCTCTTATTGTTAGGAAATGCAAATCCAAATAATGACATACCTCACACCTGTGAGAAGGGCTCTTATGCAAAAGGCCAGGGACAACAAGTGTTGTCAAGGATACAGAGATAAGGGGGAAAGGGAATGCCCACCCTCCCCGGCAGTGTTGATGGAATTGTAAATTGGTGCAGCTGTGATGGAAGACCGTATGGAGGTTCCTCAAAAAGGTAAAAATAGAACTACCATATGATCCAGCAATTGCACTTCTGGATATTTACCCCAAAACTATGAAAACATTAATTTGAAAAGATATGTGCACCCTTCTGTTCACTGCAGCATTATTCATAATAGCCAAGCTATGGAAACAACCTAAGAGCCCTTCGACAGATGAGTGGATAAAGAAAATGTGGTTTGTTTACACAATGGAACACTGCACAGCTATAAAAAAAAAATAATAATTTTTGCTGTTGCAGCAAGGTTGGCACTTGAAGGGATTATGTTAAGTAAAATAAGGAGAAAGACAAATACAGATGATTTCACTCATGTAGACTATGAAGTAACAATGCAAGCAAACGAACACAGTAAGACAAAAACAAATCCTTAGACTATGATTACAGAAAGGGGTTACCAGAGGGGAGGAGAATGGGTGAAACGGGTAGACAGTCAATTGGATGACAGTGGATGGAAACTAGACCTTTGGTGGTAGGGTGGGGCAGTGGTATATATTTGCTGAGGTGTGAAAATGCACACCTAAAACTTATACAATGTTGAAAACAATATTTACCTAAAAAAAAGCCTAAAGGCAATAAATACAGGGACTCTCTTTTTAATATAACAGTTTATTTCTTATATCCCTGAACTGAAGTTTGCATTTTATTTAAAAATCTAAGGTGTAGTCTGTTGGGTTTTTTAAGGTGTCATGCCTCTTAAGAGAACATCACATTCATCTGCATGAGAATGAGGGAAAAGGAATAAAGCCAAACTCACAGAGGCCAGGCGGTACCAGATGACCCGCCCCGCCCCGCCCCTGCACCCTCTCCCAGGGCAGAGTATTTGGTGTGAAGCAATAGTTTGAAGCTTGAAGCTCAGTCCCAGTTATGGGGCTGCTGCCTGCTTCATGCCCACTTTCTGGCCCTGTAGACAGGGCTGCACGGGACATAGGTGACAACTGGGGTTAAGAGCTGGGGAGTACCAAGTTCTGTGACCCTTGACTCAGAGAAGATGGCCAATTGCAAGGCTAAACTAAAACCATTTAAACTAAAACCACAGGGCCTCTCTGGTGGCACAAGAGATTAAGACCCAACCTATGAAGCTGTCCATAGTCTCTGCAGCATGAGTTCAATCTCCCGGCCAGGGAGCTACTCCCATGGTGCAGCAGACCTCTCCTGACTTGCCCGCTGCTCCCCTCAGCAGTGTATTCCAGTCAATCCGCCTGTTCTGTTCCCTGCTCTGTCTCTGGTGAATCCTCTCACCCTCCTGCACATCTGGCCTGTACCCTGATTCTTGTACAAATAAATACATCTTAAAAAAAAAGCTTTCAAAAAAAAAAAAGAAACAAAACTAGCCCCACATTCCTGTCGAGCACAAGCCCCTGCGGCTTACTGGAAATGTGAAGAAGATTTTTTACGGTGCCAGGGTCCTGGTCTATATTCAGAAGTTTTCATTTCACTATAGCAAAATCTGAATGCCCAATTATATACCAAGATACTCAGAACCTTTAGTCAAAACAGAAGATATAATCTGACTAACCAAGAAAAGACTACTATCTAGATTATAAAAAGTTCCCTAGATCCTCATGCAGTTAAACACCACAATGGAATTTTAAATTTGAATGCTTTCACCACGCGAACAATTAACCCACCTACCTATCCGGGCTTTATAAAATGCCTCTTTGCTCAGCATCTTGCTGGAGGAGAGAGAGGCCAAAAGAGGCGAAGTCGCCAGCCCTGACCTCGAGTAGGTAAAAAGGACCACAGTTTACTTACAACGATTGCGAGGCACATTACATGTAACCAAGTCGCCCTGCACATGAGCTACTGGAGAAATCCCAGAAGGCAAAGGAACCCACGGGGTTGGCATTAATGGCTGCGTGTCTGGCCCCCTCCCAGGGGCAGCACTCACCGGTGTTGATGTCTCCCTCATCATACACATCCACCTCCAGGAGCCTGATGAGCATGCGGAAGAGGATCCTAAGGAACTGCAAATAGGAGCCGGTCTTTCCCACCTGGTGGAATCATTTTTATTGGGAAGGGGGAGGAGAGCAAGAAGGGCAGGGAGAGAAGAGAGATTTCACACCTGTGCTCTTCACGGCTCCACGTGCCTCCGAGAGGCGAGAGGCCCGCCCAAGTCCTCCTTGCTCTGGGCTACACCCCACCCCCTTCCCCAAGAGGTTCCCTGGCTTCTTCTCTTTCTGGGGACCCTCGGCTAGGACCCAAGCCTCGGCCCTGGTCCTACCTGGGGGGGCCCAGTCAGCAGCAGCCGCCGCGGGTGGCAGGTCCGGGCCCCCGAGGCGGGGTCCGGCTGGTTGCCGTAGTCGGCGTGGTGCTGGCGCGCCGCGGTCCACTGGCGGTAGTACAGGGACTGCTCCTCGCTGCTCATGTCCTTGTGCAGGAACGGCCGCAGGGAGCTCACCCAGGCCACGTCCGCGTGGGGTAGCAGCGCCGCCGAGGCAGGCACCTTGCCTCCCCGCTGGGCGCCCAGGAGACCGTAGGCCGCCTTGGATAAGATGACGATCGGGGGCAGGGCACCGTGCAGGCTCCTGCAGCCGGGGACAGGCTGGCCTGGCCACGGGAGGGCCCGCGCCCCCGAGCAGGAGGAGGACGAAGGCTTGGAGGTGGTGCTGCTGGCCATCTGGGGACCCAGGGAATCACACTCCTGCTTCAGAGTCTCTCCAGCGCCCGCTGTGCCCGCGGAGACCCCTTCATCCAGCCCCACGCTGTTGGCTGGGCTTTGGAAGTTGGGGGTCAGGGACGGCTTCTGAGACTTGTCGGCCATGCTGGAGGAGCTCACTCCATTCTCCATGATGGAGCCTGGAAGAGGACAGACAGGGCCCGCCCCACACCCGCCCTGTTACTCGTGCTAAGGTGCGCGCCCCAGGCTCCTGGCGCCCCTGGGGAGGAGGGAAAGGCCAGAAGCCTGCAGGACATGACCGCTCCTCCAGTTGCATAAACTGGGCTAGAAATTTGCCTGCTGCTCTCCTCCCCTGGTTCTTCCTGGCTCCTTAGCACCCATGGGGTTTGCCAGTGGGAGAGGCCAGCAGGAAGTGGGTTATTTATTCCCTGGCTCTTCCCCTGCAAAGCCACCAGGGTGCCTCTACTCCGACAACAGCGCGCATCACGCCAGCTTCTCGGCCCGGAACTGCCCCCTCCCGAGGCTTCTGCAGGCCCAGTGTTGGTCCAGGCACATGGGGTTGACCCACCATCTTTTGTTCCTTTTCTGAATCCTGCCTGCATCTTTGAAAAATAGTTCCCTTATCAAACTCTCCTACATGACCTAATTTGAATGTGCCATATGATTTATTCTAGACCCCGACCAGCACAGGCCAGGTCAGGATGCGCCACCTTCAAGTCCTGTTCCAGTGGGCCCTGCCTTCTTGGGTCTCGGGTGTCAAGGTTTTGACTGTGGATAACCCTGGCTGTAGCTACTTCCACGGATGCGCAACCAGTGGGGGAAGGGCCCCGTGTGAAGGGGGATGGAAGGGAGCATCTACTCCCAATGAGGTGTTTGCTCTTGCCTGACTATTTGGCCAATTTCACTTCAAATATGATTTTTCCTTTAATAGCTCAGCCTCTCTTTGGTCTGAAGACAAACCAAATGCTCATTGCCTTCAGGACTGAAGGCTCCTCAGGCAAGCCTGTCAAATCACGGCCTTGGGAGGTCCTAGATGAAGAGCTAGCACCTGCAGGTTACTGAAACCACGTCACTGCTTCTCTGGACTTTTGTGTCTTTCTCTCTTGTATGGGAGCTTGCCTTCTCCTCACATCCCCGCCCTCATCCACAACCTGCACCTTCCTGACCACCCTGGGTCAGCCCTGAGCTGGTGCGGGAGGGGGCTGGGGTGAGAGGTGAGTGTGTGCTCTGAGGTGTGAGTACAACGGGCGGTCAAATTGTCCTAGGAAGGAAGTGAATTCTAAATAGCAGAAGGCAAACCATTGTCTTTGTGTGAGTTCATCAGCGCACATGTGAGCTTGTGGGGCAGCTCTAGACGTGACCAGAAAGGAGGGGGCTGATGAAAGCACCACAGGAAGGAAAACAAACTCCCCCTCTCCCCTCCTGCACACCCACCCCCTCTTCCCCGTTCCCTCACTGGTGCTGGAATCCCAAACTTCTACTAATAGATGTGATAGTTTTCTCTCCCTTCTGTTCCTCTTCTTTATCTGCTTTGAACCTTTTCGCTTTGCCACTGGTTGTAGAAAATTGGGGAGCCTGGTGTGGTGGGGTGGAGGGAGGTACAGCCCTGATCCCTGACTGAAGGGGCGCAGCTGGGCAAGCCCAGTAGAAGGACAGTCCGCATGCTCTTCCAGCTGAGGGTCTCTATAGACAGACAGGAAACCCCGCAGCATCTGCCTGTTCGACTCCCACAGAGACATCAACAGCTGCCGACAGAGAGAACAGTGTGTGTCTGCACACGTGGGACGGTGTGAGGGAGGGAATCGTGGGAAGGGATGTTAATAGTCGTCACCTCTCGTGTGGGGTTCGGTTTCATTTTTAATGTTTTCTCTATATTTTGTTACATTCTCTGAGTTTTCTACATTACGACATTATTTCATAATCAGGAAAAAATTTAAATAGTGCTACATTTGATGTAACATAACTTAGAAGAAAATTTACTGCCATACAGGCCACATAGCAAGGTCACCAGAGGGGCTGGCGGGCGGCACGTGGGTCATCACAGTCAAGCAGAGTTTCCAGAGGAGCCAGCAGTTTATCAACACTGCCATTATGTATTTACAAAAGTCATTCACTCATTCATTCACTAATTCAGTCGGCCAGGAACTAAGCTAGTAAGCACAAACTAACAGCTTCAAGATCTAGAAGAAAAAGAACCTTTATGCACATAACGGTTTCATGACATCCATGAGGTGATTATGGATGGGGAAGATTAAGGAAAATGGTGCAGATTGGGCTGATAAGTTCTTCATTAAGTGTTTACCCAAAGAAGTATTTTGTGGATGTTCACCTGTCACATCTCCACGTGTCTCTCCCAGGGAACTGAGGTCTACACGGGCTGCCTGAGTCACCCAATGCTCCTCTGCCCTCCCTCCTCCTCACTCCTGTCCTTTACCCCTTGAAAGAGAAAAGAAAATACTGACCTGAGGTTCCAGTGACAGCACTACTGTTGCTCTGGGGCCTTTCCAGGTCAATCAGCAGTTCATCGGTGTCATTCTCGCTAATGGCAGCTCTCTCCTGCTCCTTCCCGCTAAGGTCCAGGGCAACCGCAGGTCCCCGGATGACCTCTTTTGATACATAGCAGCATGCTAGACCCACTTCTTGCTCCAAGGCAGTGCGGGTTAAATAACTTGAATCAATTAACCGGAGGTCACAGTATTTCAAAGACCTGGACAAAAGTAATGTTTTTGGTGAGTCCACCTGACTACACACTGTGTTTATATGTATGGACAGCTGGACATATCACACAATTAAAATTATGGATTTCAGTGCCACATAATCTTTGCTCTAAATCAGTTCTTCCACCTTCTACCTGTTATGATCTCTGGCTAGTCATTGCATATTCTCCAAGTATAAAATAAATTAATAGTGCGTGGCTCATAGGGTTATTGTAAGAAATGAAGGAAAATGCCTAACACAGTAAGCATTCAATGAGTGCTATTACTGTTGTGGTTGACTTCCAATTTATGGGCCTTAGAGCCTTGAGGGAATTGGAAGCAGCAGAAAAAGAGCTAATTCATAGAAAAAAAGTCCTCATTTGGAGCGGATGCCTTTCTCTGCCTCTCTTACTTTGAATCACATATACTTGTCAATGGAGGCTTCCTCCATTCCCTAGATTGTAAGGTGATCTCTGGAAAGTCAAAAGAATCAAGGAAGGTTCAATTTCTTGTATTCCTAAGTAAAACAATTATTTTCTCACTTGCCAAATGAATGATATGGTTAATTATCAGACAAGTATTAATCATTAGCTCAGCTGGATGACTAGCGAAAGATGCAAAGTAATTATTCACATCGTACCTGGGAAATGTTTCTCCAAGAGGATCTTTGCCAGTTAATATCACAATACAAGGCAGACCTTCCAAATCTTGATATGTCCGAGGGATCCACTCTTCTGGTTCATTTCCTCTCCAAGTCTGTAGAAAGGAACCATATGATAAAGTCAAAACCCCTTATTTAAGTTTCCACTTTTTAAAAGGTTTCTAGCTCCAGATTTTATACATTTGTGCTTCTAAATGACTTCTGGTAAGTGTGTGTGTGTGTGTGTCTGTGTTGCAACTAAAAAGCATACACAAGCACTTCTTAGAAGAATGGCCTTTAGTTTTTTTCTCAGTGGGATAAAACAGGAAATCTTGTTGCATTACCCACACTGGGCAAAGAAACATACAAAGTAACATACACCACCAGGGATACAAACCTTATGGAAATCCTGGCTAAATTACCTGACTCAAGGGTCTTAAGTGTATTTTCTTCATATAACGGACAAACTTTTGGGATTGATTGACAGAAAAAAAACACAGTTTAGATGTAAATGGTTAATAAAAGAATATCAACAAAACTCCATGAAAAGAGACATTTTTGTTAGCTCCTCTGATGGCTATTTTTCCTCTTCCTTTATGATTTTCAAATTAACTGACAAATAACGTTGGCTTAGGGCTCCAAAGAGTGTCTTCCAAGAAGGCTAAGTTAAATAACCAAACCTGGACCAAGAAAAAAACCTGCTTCTCGGAAGAGTAGAGCAAAGGTTTCATAAAAACCTGTTAGCATCAACTTTGTAAGTATTTTAACACATATACATATATACACATGTGTATCTTCAGTAAATATGAATATATCAACGAAAAGGAAAAATTCCCACCAACTTGAAAGATATTAAAAAATGAAAAGATCTCTTATATTTTTCTATCTTAGAGCAGAAACAAAGTAGACCATCTCTTAAGTAAATAAGATTTCTGCTTTTTATAAAGTGTGTATTTAACTATGTCAGGTCTCTAGCAGGAGTTATAAGAAATGAGCTGACATTTCTGATTCTACTTCAGGGAACAAGAGACTAAGAAGTGAGGTGTTAAGTAATGCATATGATTTCATTTTAAAATAGGCTGTTATTTCCTCTGCTAAACACAAAATGGAATAAAAAGGAACCACAGAGCAAGGAATAATATAGGATTTGATTAATAATTTGTTGATGTCTGCAAAAAGCAGTTTTTAGAAATAAATATACTCATGATTACTTCACTTGATCTTAGCCAAAAGGCCGAGAAGCGATTCATGATTACTTCAAATAAAGAGCATATAATTTGTAAAACTGGAAGAGACTTAATCTAGTGGCCGAATCTTACATTTTTGCATGCTTTGGGGAATCCAATCATTCTACACAACTTTGTAAGTTTGAGAGAATATATGTCTTAGAAAATCAGTCTGTCAAAAAGATTTTTATTTGGAGAAAGATTCTCCACAAAAATTCAATTTTCCATATATTTTCCTGTCAAAGGGAACCATAATATTACCAGATTAAAGCAAACAATTCTGAAAACTGGAATCATTTCACTTAAAGCTTTCACATTGACTCATGATATCCCAGCACTGGGGTTCTCCCTGAATATTTTTTATCTCCCAGGAACCATCATCCACAGGTCATGGCTCCACCAAGAATAATGAGGTTATTATAATAGGAAAACATGTATTATGATTTACTTTACAAGATCTTTAAAAGATTGGTAAACAAATCTTGACCAATCAGACCAATTGCTACTTGTGATGAAAGATGGATGCAGTTCTTCTATGAACAACCATGGCACCCTCAGGATGATTTTACTGCAGGGGCATTTAAGACAACAGAAAAGATGGGCAAGCATTGAGTTCAAGGAAAGTATTGGCTCAAGGACAAGGAAATCTAAGCTTCACAGGCTTTCTGGAAGAATTGATTTATTTAGATTAAACCTTGTATCCTTCTAAAGAGCTTATCATCACTTAGAAGTTAACCATAATACATAAGATAATTAGGGTAAAATGCAAAAATAAGAGCCTCTACCGGAAAAAGAGGCATTGCATTTCACTCAAGACAAAATGAAAGGCACACCGTGCCTTCCCAATAATGGTAAAGGAGGCTGGTAACTCAGAAATAAGAGGTGAAGCAGAGACCACCAGGCAAGTGGCAGCCTTGTTTAGGATTTGAACATCCTACTGGGATTCATAATTTCACTTTTATACAAATGGACCATACAAAAAAAATGGACTGATGTGATCCAGTGGTTTTGACACCATGGAAATCTCTGGTGTGGTTGGTATCAGCTACTGGTGTTGGATGACAGCTACTCATCAAATTATATGAGGTATAACTGCCTTGTGAGGTAGTTACTTGAGATCCCCGTCACGCAGGACAAGCTCTCAGAATAGCCAGTCAGACCCATTGCTCCTTAACAGCCCTGCAGCTGATTCTGATATTTTAGCAGGCAGGTTAAGAATCTCAGGTCTTGACACTGGTTTCAAAACTTTGGCCCAAAGGGCAAATTAGTTAGGATTTCCTGATTTATACTTAGTGATTGGCACTTCTGAAGGATGTAAACAAATGACACACTGTAAGTTACTAAACTTGTCAGTGTCAGTGGCAACCCAGAGAAAACCCTGCAGCCTCACAACCTTTTAAACCATCTCCCTGAAACAGATGTGAAGGACTTCACACATCACCACCCATTATTTGCTTTACCAGATGGGTCATCATTGGCATCATTCAAATTGTCTCAAGATCTATGTCTCAATGAGTCAAGACTGTTAGAAGAGTTGCAGAACTCATTGGATATTCATCCTAGGAAATCCACTGTAATGTGGTCCATGGATGAATGTAAAATTATGACTACTATATCTATATATGAGATAGAATTGTTAGAATTTCCACTAAATATGGGAGATTCTATTTTAGATTTATTACAATCTAACACAAGATATTTTATTTGCATTTTGGATTATTCAGTTTAGATTAGCAAATAGAATAAAAATAAAAGTTTACATTTGTAAAATGTTTAGGAACACTAATAATCCCAAAGTAGGTCTCTTAGACATCATACAATCCAAGCCTCTCATTTTGTAGATGGGAACTGGCAGCCCAGGATAGAAATGCAAATCCTCCAAGTATATGTGCTTGCTTTTCATAGAATTTGTGCCACGCTAGATTTTTGTTAACCCAATAGCTCATATTTAGTGTATAGATAATATGTTGGTTTAACTTAGACACAGTACCTGGCACAGTACATATATACATATATATGTATACATATACATATATATGTATATATGTATGTGAGTATTTTATCAAGTGCTCTTTAATGGCTAGGCCACATTGGATTCTCAAAGTTCCCAGAAAAACCTGAGCAGGGCATAAGGTAGGGGGTTAGTTTAGTTGATTTAGGAATTCTACCCCCTCCCAAACTTAACAGGAGGGGCTGAGGAACAGCAGTCAGTCTCTGGCCATGCAGAGGGGCAGTGGGTGGCTCATGCACTGAACTCCTCTCCAGGAGGCTTGGATAAGCCTCAATCCAGCCCAAGCCATGGGGGGCTGAGGGTCAAGGTAACCACAAAGAAACAATAAACTGTTGTAGATCCACATGCAAGAGGGTGGGGAAGAGTTTTATACGCATAGTGAAGATAAAGGAGAATACCTTACCGACTCTAGACATGAGCTGATAGGCTGGATGGACAGAAAAGGAATAGTAAATTGATAATATTTAAAGGCATACCCCCACAGAGACCAGAGAGAACAACTTACCTTTCCCCTGAGAAAACAGACGGCCGCAGGCTAGCTGCATCTTGAACAAGGTCAATAAACAGGGGGTCAAATTGGGTCATCTCATTTTTGCACCTGCAGTTGGAGAGCATGGAAGACCAACTGCATGCACAGGCTAAAAAGGGGGCTTCACAGAATCTTAGTCAACTGTCTCCAATTAGGAAAGTGAACATGTCCCTTAGTTTCACTTTAATATCGTCATAAAGATCAAATTGACAATGTGCAAAACCCTATTAAACTCAGGCCTCTGTGCCACCTATGTGGGAGTCCTAGAGAACAGAAACAAATGGTATTTTGAAGGAGAAATGTCTGTCCATTGCTAACCTTTAATCGTGCCACAAAGTGAGTTGCAACACTGAGTTCAGAGGCAGGATTCCCAAGGATGATCTCAAAGCGGTACTGTAGACCCAGCTTGTCACGCACCTCCTGCAGCCGCTCCTTGGCTAACATCGCCAGCTGCACAGAGGGCACCCTGATAATGAGCATGTGTCCCCTTCCACTCTTGTTTTTTCCTGGTGAGCTGATGAGGTCATCCATAATGCTGAGTGTTTCTGGTGTGCTGTGGTCTCGAAGAGATGCCATGGTAGTGAGAGCCATCAGAGCCTCCGAGTACTGCTGGATGAGAAGGTAGCAGCGGATGACCATGCTGTGCAGCCTGGGGTACCTTCAAGAGAACACAGGAGGAAGCCGGCATTCAGGCAGCAGGACCAGCTGGGATAGCAAGGTCTGTGCTAGGAATACAGAGGAATAGTAGCAAGGGGCTATCATAGGCTTGAATACTAGAATGACCTTCGAGCCCACATCACCTGAAGGAAAAGTTGAATCAGAACTTGTAGGAATAGGCGCTGCAAGTTTAGGGATAATCTAGTGACTGTTGCTTCTCCAAATGTGGTTTCTGGATCTGAAACAGCACCACTCAGGAGCTTGTGAGAAATACCAAATCCCCCAGCCCAGAAACACTGAATCAGAATCCACAGCCTGACAAGATCCCAGTGATTTGTAGACATATTAAATTTTGAGAAGCACAGTCTAGTCAGGTCACTATATTTTCCTATAAAATAAGCCTCTGTGCTTGAGAAAACTCGGCGCTGACTGGAGAAATAGCACCCCCTAGTGGTATGGCCTCCTAGCACATGAACAGTGAAGCAGCAGGGCAGATAGGGGCCTCCTCATCTCCTCCTAACACCCATGATACACGCCCTGTCCCCAGGCTTGGACTGCCAGGTAGGAGGATCACTTTGTTCAAATTGGCAGTTTGTAGAGTCAGAAAATAAATCACACAAATGAGTAAATTTATGTGCTATTTCTCAGAAAGCCAGGTCTTTCTGAAGACAAAATGAGTAAAAATGGGCATAGAGGATCCGTTGCAGGCATAAAGAGGAGTGGTGAAGAAAAGTCTTTGGCAAAGTGAGGCCCTTGCCAGAGTCTAGACAAGTCTCTCGTACAGCCTGGCAAAATGAAGATGAATCTGTGAACTTTTTTTTGATGACCAGCTGGGAGCTCATGGAGCCGCCTTATAGCTGGGTGGGCTAATAGGGGATTACTGCTGCTCCACTTTAAAATTATATTTAAAGTAAAAGAAGTGGCCCACTTGCCTTGTAAAAAAAGCCCATAGTCAAATGCCAAATAAGGTCATCAAATGAACAGTGTGATTTCAAAATACTTCAGAGCTGGAAAGGACCTCAGATGTCCTAGATTCTGATCACCCTGCCTTCTCCTAGAAGGAGAATGAGTTAAGAGGCAGAGAGAAACTTGCCAAAATCATCCAACTAGTCAGAGACAGAACTGAGTCTAGTTCATTCAGATCTCTCATAGTATCTTCTTATATTGCAAAGATTTAGATTGGAGCAAAGCAAAGAAATCAGTGAAGTCTGGGCAGTTCCTTCAAGTGTTCAATAAATCATAGCTATCATTAGCCTGAGAGGACTGGGTTGGAGGAAATAAGCACAGATGATACATGTTTCACACTTAACTTTTTTTGCTGAGTCATGTAGGAATGCCAAAGTTAGAACAGATGGTAACTTTGATACACAGGCATTTAAATTTCACATTCTTTTTTTTTTTTTTAAAGATTTATTTATTTATACAAGAACTGGGGTACAGGCCAGAGGCATGGGAGGGTAAGAGAATTCAACAAGAGACAGCGCAGGAAGCAGAACAGGCAGACAACCGAAAACACTGCTGAGGAGAGGTATGTGAGTATCTCCATGTGAGTATCTCCCTGGCTGGCTGGGAATCGAACCCGTGGTACAGTGCAGAGGCTGTGAATAGCTTCACAGCACTGCGCTCAAGCCCCTGCACCACCCGGGGGGCCCTAAATCTCACATTCTCAAAGAAGCATGAAGTGAATAGTTTTCTCAATCTGTTTTGTTTGCATTAAACTATACAAAATTGTGTAGATTTGTAAATATTAGATGAGTTGTAATAGGAGTCATGTAATATGAGTAATGAAAACCTGCCTGATGTTACTGGAATAAAAGAGACATTCCAAGCTGGTGGATGGGATAGACGGGTTGAAAACACTTAAAAGGGAGTCTCATGGGACATTTCTGGAAATCTAAGATCACATGTACTGTGAGAGGATTAATGTCACAGTATCAGTTAAGTCTCCTCAAACCCAACAGCTGCAGAAATATAAGACCCTACTTCAGGCCTGTCCCTTCTCCTGACACAGCAGTATAACTTGCTAGAGAGAATGCATGTACCTCTTCTCATTTTTAGTTATTTTTTCTTAGCAAAGTTACAGTGTAGGTTGTTAAATAGATAGCTAGTGATCAGCTGGAGTTAGAGAACTTCAGCTACCAATGATTAGAATGTACCTCATCACGTAGAACCCACTTGCCCCATCATTGGAAGATCAGACAGAATTCTGTAGAGGGAGCTCTGTTAGATGAGATAGACTCTAGTGCCTCTACGTGCTCTTTGAGTTTATGATGTCAGAAAAAAGTTCTTTTACTCTTTCAGAGTGTGACCTGGAACTGGGTAATAAAAAGAAGGCTGAAAAGATTGAACAGTCATAATCCTTAACATGTAAAGTCAGGGACACTGAATTCACTTAAATGATCTGATTGCTCTTTAATTTTCTCCAGTCTACACTTCAAATATCTCTTAGTAAAGTTTAATTATTAAAGTCATCCCAGGGTTTTTGCTTGCGGTAGACAGAAGAGGAAAAAAAAGGAGAAAATACCACGGTATGGGGTATATGGTAGGGGAAGCCAAACCTTGAGGTATGGTCTTTAATAAGCAAGCTCCTCTCTGCCTATGTAATCCTGGGTGGTAGCAATGGGAGAAAATTCAGAGCATGGAAAGAGGTTCTACATTACACTTTGGGTTGCTAGTTTCCTTTGTAGGTCTTCAATGATCACAGAAAACCCATATTAATACAAGGTCATGTTAGGAAAGGCTATTTTTATTCTGCCTTCACATGCCATCTGCACAGCCCAGGCTCCACCAAACTCCCTGTGACACTGACACAAAAGACTTGTGGCTATTTTATCTAAATATATGCAAGTACAGCTAAAGAAAAAGCAGAAGGTCCTTATTTACCTCTCCAGGAGCGTGTTCACCATTTTTTCAAAAGTTTCGTCACATCTCAGAAGTGGGCTTGTGATTCCCCATTGCAGGGACTTACTGTACTCATTCAAACCAAAGTACAGCTTCTCCTCGCAGGTCATGTCCTCCTGATTCAAAACACAGAGCAAATCCCAGTGAGGGCAAGATACAATGTATCTTATTTTCTAGGGTGGGGGTAATATCCCTGTAATAGGTTATTTCCTGGGAGCTTAAAAAAAATTGTGAGTAAACAGGTGTGACTACAGCAAACTACTACAAAGCTTCTATATAGGAAAGGAAACCACCAATAAATTGAAAAGGAAATGTATGGAATAGGAGAAAATATTTGCAAGCCATTTATCTGATAATGGGTTAGTATCTAAAATACATATGTTAAGAACTCACACAACTCATTAGCAAAAACAATCCAATGAAAAAATCAGCAGAGGAACTAAATGGACAGTTTTCCAAAGAAGATCTACAGATGGCCAATAGGTATGTGAAAAGGTGCTGGACATAACTAATCATTAGGGAAATGCAAATCAAAACCACAATGAGCTATCACTTCACACCTGCTAGACTTACTATTATAACAAACACGAGATAACAAGAGTTGGTAAGGATGTGGAGAAAAAGGAAGACTTGTGCACTGTGGTGGAAATGTAAGTTGGTGCAGCTCCTGTGGAAAACAAGGTTCTTCAAGAAGTTAAAATCAGAACTATTCAGCAATTTCAGTATTTGTTCAAAGGAAATAAGAATAGGATGTTGAAGAGCTAGCTACAGTTCCATGTTCTCTGCAGCATTAGACACAGCAGCCAAGACAGGGAAACAACCTAAGTGTCCATCCGTGGATGAGTGGGTAAAGATGAAGTGCTCTCTCCCTCCCCGCAAACCCCCACCCAGAACAAATTTTCCTGACACAGGGATTTTTCCAAATCTTAATGGAGGCAAGTTTTTTTCTAAATATAGTAATTACGGTCATAAATAAAAAACTAAACCTAGGACTCCCTGTGGTGCAAGGGTTAAAGTCTTAGGGCTATTAAGCCCTAAGTCTTAGGGCTGGTGATAACCAGCCACTGCAATACACGTTCTATCCCTGCCAGGGAGCTAACCCACATGGTGCAGCAGAGCTTTCCTGTCTCACCTGCTACTCCCCTCAGCAGTGCATTTCATTAGATCTGGCTGTTCTGTCCCCCACACTGTCTCTGGTGAATCCTCTCACCCCCCATATCTCTGGCCTACACCCCAGTTCTTGTATGCATAAATAAATAAAAATAAATCTTTAAAAAACCAAATCCTAGAGCAAAAGTAAAGCATATCCACATAAAAGAAAAGACAAAACAGACTCCTAACAAAACATTTTTCACAGAGAATGGATTTTTTAATGGGTACCTAGGTTTTCATTTAAATGAATTATTAATTACAGGTTTCCTGACTCAACTGAAAGCAATAACTTTAACATTTGTTACACTCCCTGGCTGGTCAAAACACGATGTAACTTATGAACATGGTGATGGCTAGTAAGAAAACCAGTAGAACTAATTAATCAAAATTCCATTTACCCTTTTTTTCCCTGACAACTAAGCCAAGTTTCCCTCACAATTTGCTCAAATAAATGTAAAGAAAAGAAAATTAATTTAAAATAGTTACAATAGTCAAAATATATTCAGGACCAAGAACCAAAAACAAGGCATTTTAAGAAATGGAAGCAATGTAAATCCAATCAAGAGAGAAGGAAATGTCCCAGCTGTTCTTCACAGCTATATGTGTATACACACACACATACACACACACACACACACACAATGGAATATGTTAAACCTTGAATAAGAAGGAAATTTCTGTTTGCGACAGCATGGATGAAACTTGAAAGCATCATGCTAATAAAATAGGTTAGAGAAAGACAAAAACTGGGTGCTATCACTTCTATGTGGAATCTGAAAAAAAAATCAAACTCAGAAACAGAATAGAAAGTAGTTGCTAGAGATTGTGGGTAGAGAAATTAGGGAGAGGTTGGTGAAAGGGTATAAACTTTGATCTCTGAGATGAGTGAGGTCTGAGGAGCTGATTCATAACATGTGTCTAGAGTTGATAGCAATGTATTATATGATTGGAATTTGCTAAGAGAATATAAATGTATTCATGAAAATATGTACATGTAGACACAGGATGGATGTGTTAATTAAATAGATGAAAAGAATCTTTTTACAATGTATATGCACATAAAATCATCATGACATATACTTTAAATATTTACAATTTTCTCTGTCAATTACACATCAATAAAACTGAAAAAAAAATTGCCTTTTATTACATGATCTGACACGAACTCTACAATCTTCTCTGAGGCACTGACTGAAATTTCCATGTACTTAAAATGAACTTCATTGTGACTAGTGAACTGTTGACATGCTTTCTAACCAAATGGTAACTACATACATGATTTTTTTCTTCTTTTATTCAGACATATTCTGAAGAACAGCATTTTTTTTTAGACCATGCAGTCACAATGTCAGATTTTTTTTTTCCTCTTGGAGCAGCTCTCTAGAGTAACACATGAGATTTATAGACCTCTTGAGATCAACAAACTCAAAACTATAAAGAAAATTTAACTTTTCTGACATTATTTAATGATGGTAATTCATAAATGCTTATCCTTTTACAACCAAATTTTATTTCAAAATGGAATGTATACTTTTCTACCTTCTTAAGCAGAGTATACAGTATTTAATTTTTTCTCCTTGATGACTCATTTATCACTATGAAAATGAATAACTATTTTGAGAGATGACAGAGATTCCCTCAGAAAATCCTAAAGTGTGTGACAAACTGCTTACCCTTAAACTAAGTAGCCCCAGAACATTGAATAAGAGTTATGACTTCATATCTTTTTCTATATTAATTTTACAGTCATTTCTTCTTGCAGTCATGTTGCTTGTGTGTTTTAGCCTCACGTTTGCTATTTATTATGTATTAGTATTTTTACTCTCCAACTCATTTTAGAAAGATAACACACCAATTTAAACCATATAATAAGATTAAAATAAATTAGGCAACCAAAGGGAAAATAAGTAAGGTTAAGAGAAATAAGATTAGGCCAGGGGTTAAATCAACACTCCTAAGGATGCTTACCAGAAGTTTTTGTGCATTTGTTGGAAGTGGCCTACACATTTGGCTCTGAGTTTTTAGTAACCCATCTAAAGGAATAAGCAATAATGTGACTTAGAAAGTCCCGGTGATAAAAATAAAGCATTATTTAATTGACAACTTTTAATTTTTTGAGGACCCCAAAGAAGCAGTTCATCCTGCTTGGAACAGGATGTTATTTTAGAGTAAATTTATTTTACAAAAGGACCAGAGTCTTATAAATACTGGATACTCAGAGCATAGATTGAGTGACATCTATTTCATCAGCTTAGAAGCCTTTTCATTAGTTGATTATTTCCTTCTAAGTTCTTGGCTATGTTCTGGATAGATGTATCAAATAAGTCATTTCAGGTTGAAAAACTCATTCATTTGATTTCCCTCCTTACCTAGACTGCTGTGTGGCACAGAATAAGTGGACAGGCTTTCTCTTATATGCACTTCATCCTCACATTCTTTCTCATCTTTGGAAAAATAAAACACCCTATTCCAGGCCTGCGCCTTCTCTGATGCAATATACCTTGCTGAATAGGATGCACCCAATTGTTCTCATTTTATTTTTCTGAGCAAAATCATAGGTTAGGTTATTAAATAAATGGCTGGTGAAGCCAGTGTGGAATTTAAGAACTAAAAATAAGAATTAGATATAGTTTCCCCAATCTGCTAAATTTTTAAGTTTTCATTAAACTATAAATACAACTTCCTAAGAATTACAAAGGTTGTCATATTAGTTAATAAGACCATCTTTACAAAATTCTGAATGTTGTTACTCTAAAAAAAATCATGTGTCCCAAGTACCGCAAGAAAAAATCCAGTTGCTGGGGCATCATGAGGGAGCATGTCTGAGACATGACAGAGAAGCCACCAAAGAGACCAAAAGATTTCAAGTCTTAGATTGAAACTCATTATTTAAAGGCACAAAGATAATCTGGGATATTGATGATGGTGTCAGATAATATCAGCTCTTTTGGGGAAAAATTACATGACTAATTTTGTACCTACATCACAATCTAAAAGAGATCACCTAACCAAATTTACATAGCACACCATTCACTAGTTGTTAGTCTTGTAATAACTAGCTATATGGAACCTTTGGAAGATAAAGCCTAGTGTAGTTAGACTTTTGAACTCTTGTGTTTTATTTTACAAAGTCATTACCATACTTATTGCAAGCTTCTCTCCCCTGGGGAACTTAGTTATCATTATGTAGCAGAGAAAACAATGGAGACTTACCATGTTGTCCAACTGTATCCAGTGAACCTCATTGCTGGAGCTGATTCGGGACTGTTGGGTCTGTAGAGTGTATGGGAAAGAGCTAACCTGGAGCACCAGGAGATTGAAAGCTTCGAGTACTTCTCTGCAATTAATAACTCTGTCAGCCAATCCATGACTGGGCTCACCATGTGACAAAGAGCCAGAAATGACACTGTAGAAGTAATGAAGTTCACGTTAATAAATACCTCCTAATTTAACTGATTAGATACAGAAGCAGACACCAAAAATGGAGATGTTTTAGTTCTTATTTTTCTAGCTTTTAAAAATTGAAAACAGGGGCCTCCCCTGGTGGCGCAGCGGTTGAGCGCTGGGCTGAGAGGCTGCCCTCAGCCTCTGCAGCACCAGTTTGTTCCCCGGCCGCCGGCGAGGGTCCTACAAAAATAAATAAATAAAAATTGAAAACAGGAATAAAAGCAACTGTATTTGATTTGGAAGAGCAAAAATGACACTCCTCCTTACCGATTCCATACAGATTTCAGACTTTTTTTTCTTTTTTCAGTTTTTCCTTGATATACCTCAAAGTGTAAACTCAAATCATGATTAGATGGAGCACATTAGTTCGAAAGTTCATCTGAAAGCATGAGCTTCTCCATTAAAGTGTAATGCTTATAACTATGCAAGGATCTCCTCAGTGTTAATATCACTCTCCTTCCTTTGAGGTAGCTAGACTTTAAGGAGTTCTAAGGGGGGGGCTCTCATCCTTCTCTGCATGACCAGCATCATTTTCAATTCTGTTCAATTTGTACGTACCAGGTTATTGTGAAGTATCAAAGTTACATGTGTGTGCATGTGTGTATGAAAGAAACAATCTCAATGTTCCATGTAATTAAAAACAAAGAAGTTCAGGGCCTCCCCTGGTGGCGCAGCATTTGAACACTGGGCTGTTAAGCTGCCCGCAGCCTCTGCAGCGCCAGTTCGATCCCTGGCCACCCGTGAGGGTCCCACATGGCGCGCAGACCTCTCCTGTTGCACCCACTGCTCCCCTCAGCAGTGTATTTCATCACTCTGACTGTTCTGTTCCCCGCTCTGGCTCTGGTGAATCCTCTCACCCTCCTGCGCTTCTGACTGTACCCAGTGCTTGTGTAAATAAATAAATAAATCTTTAAAAAAACAAACAAAACAAAACAAAGAAGTTCAATGCATATCCTTTGTGCTATTATCCCCAAATTTTAAGGATGAGGTAGATAAGGTCAGTGAGCTATTTCTGCTCATAGAACACTACTGATAACTGAATAGTAATGCAAGATCTTATTTACACCTGCATATGTATACTCTGTGGATTGTAAAGTTCCAAACATTCTGTCTTCTGAACAAGCACTTTTTAATCCTGATATTTCTATCAACAGACCAAAAATCTTGAAATTCATAACCTCAGTGTGTTCTTGAGAAAAGAAAATCTTACATAGTTGATGATACCCGAAACTTCCCTTTCCTTCCTTACATGGTAAAGACAAATTATGGTATGTAATACCTAATGATGGTTTTTCCCTTTAAAGAAAATAATCTATTTGCTTTTTAAATCTATAGGAGCAAAGGTCCCTCTACTAGATCATTACTGTAATTTGATCTGCAACCAAAGCTACCTCCATCATGCCACATTTACTGTTCTTTCATTAAGAATATTATTCTCAAATGTATAATTCTGTTTCATTAAGAGAAATATTATATTCTTTATATTCTCAAACTGGTAAATTAAAGGTTTCAGATGTGTTTTCATATAATTAAAATGGCACCTCTACTGCTGTTAAAGGTAAGAGGGAGGAGAAAGGCAAGGAATGAAGCAGAGAAAAAGGAAAGGCTGGAGAAAAAAAGGTCTGAGAAGGAAAGCACCTCTCTCTTCTGAGAAGGAAAGCACATCACAAAGCACTTCTTTAGCCTCAACCTTTTGCTACCACCCTTCTCTGCAGCACCAAGTTCCATAATGCTTTGAAGATCATGAATTTTTTTCTACAGTTTTAAAAACTTATCATTTTTTAAATTTATAGGTGTCTAAATGTACAGAATTCGCCTTTAAAAATTTATTACAGACAATAAGTGCAGTAAAAATTATCTTAAAGCACTGGTTTTATTCTCTTAAGATTACAAAATCTGGTGTGAGTGGCTGGCAGTAAGTATAGAGGGAGAATGTTTGGGGATTGGTGAGGAAGACCCAATTTCCTATTTTGGAGGAGCTGGTGAAGACCATATTTAACAGAAATTTCTAAATTCATTGAGAGTTTAGTTAAAATAAAATCTTCACTTAAGTTACAAGAAAAGTTGAGAAAGGAAGGAAAGAGTAGGGGTAAGTTACCCATAAGAAGATGCCAAATGTTAGAGCTCCTGGGCTTTCAAATCACTACCTTTTAAAGTAATTTATTACTTTATTCCATAATAATAATTGCTGTAGAAGAAATACTGTATTTGCTCACTCTGAAGCAATCACCTCGTTAGTTCCACATGGGAGTTGTCATGGACCAGCACAAACAGTGTGTAAGGGTTCTGTTTCACCCTTCTCATAAAAACTTCAAACTTGGTTTGAATCTCATTGTCCAGACGAACAACATATTTCTCCGCTCTCTGATAAGCTGTCCCAGTTTCCTCCAGACCCAAGTCTACAAGGACACCTGCAGAAAAGAAAAAAATTTTTATCTTCATACATACATATGAATGAAACACTTAAATTCACTGTCAAATGATATGCCAGATACTGTGTATAGGGTTTACAGAGTAGGTAATGTTCATATTTCCCTCCACAATTTTGAGGAGGAAATAGCAGATTTCCTTTTCTTTAGAACACCCCACCTCACCTACCATACTTTTCACAAATGCCAACAGTAGACAATCTGATACTTTAAGTAGAAACAATTAAATGTTTGAGACCTCTAATTAAATTCTATTGATATACAAAATGCTGCTGCTAACAGTTACTATAGGCTATGGGGGGGAGGGGAAAATGAAGCTTTGGTCTATAGTTCTTGGCCAAATTAATATAATTACATAAGCCCCCTCTACAAATTTAGCAACAAAACAAAATATGAGAAAAAGGGAAGTAAAATGTAATACCCAAATACACCACAACTAGATTTTTAAAATTGTATTAGGTAGTATTTTATTCATTTTTTAAAGTGACAGTTTTATATGTTATCTGTAGTACGGGAAGCCCAATGAATGTCGAAATTACATATTAAATTAATAGCACAGAACAGAAAATTTCAAGATCACTATATTCAAAATGTTAAAAACTAACTTTATTTCTGTATCACTATCTCTGTATACAATAAAATTTCCTCTACATAAAAACATCTAAGACAGTTGTAGGCATATGGAGCTGTTACTGGGATAACTAATTAAAACATCAAATCCTCTTAAAAATGAAGAGCCAAGACAGTAATTATATAAGGTGAAGGATGTGTTAAGTAATCTTTTTGTGGTAGACATTTTTGCAATATATGTGTGAATCAACAGATCAGCACCAGAGCTTTTGTTGCTCTATAACACTTTGACCATCTTGGTTTCACACCTGGGCAGGTTTACCCCTCCTTAGACAATCTGGTGGTTGTGTACTCTTAAGGTCACCATCGTGATGTCAAATTTAGTGCAGACACCAGACCAGCTTAGTACAGTACAGTTCAGGACTCCTGGGCTTAAGCAACCCTCCTGCCTCCGCCTCCTGAGTAGCTGGGACTCCAGGGCACATGACACCACACCTAGCTGTGTATGTGTATAAATTTCCACATTGTATTACACAGCATTTTACATCAATTAAATCTCAATATACCTGAAAACTCCCCAAACACACAAGGGCAAACACACCCCACTGCTCTCCCACAGATAAGTAGTTGCACAGCGGGACAGCTAAGCCTCCTGAGATAAGAGTCCACAATGTTCTAAACAGGAGAAGGAACTAGAAGACTGATTTGGGGTTATATATGTCACATTTGTGGTTTAGATTATAGTCCTTGAGAACCAGCCTGGAACTCCAAGGGCTTCAAGGTATCTATTTAGCCTCCGAGATCAGCCACACCAAGCAGGCCCAACTATATACAAAATTTAAAATTAAAAAATAAATCATAAGTAAAATGAAGAGACTTTCATGAGTGATGTTGACTTAGTTTCATTTAACTTTAAAAAATATAAAACCAGCTTAATTAATTATATGCAATTAGGATCTATAAATGCTAATACATAGCTCTAAATGGAATAAAAGAAAAAAATGTTACAGTATATGAAGATTTCATAGTCCCAGAGAAGGTGCAAAGAAAGTTAACTTTGCTTCCAAATATTTTTCATTAGGAGTCTTTTCTCAGAGATTGTTTTCAATTTCCAACTAAATGTGGTCAAATGTAATGAGTAGTTGTAAAAACAATCAAGTAAACATTACATTTGACTGGTATTATGATTTTTTTGAAAGTTGATTGCACTTTAATTTCATTTAACATTTGATAGTAATTTATTGAGCATGTGTATCAGGTATGTGCTAGATCTGAGGATACACAGAAGAACAGGACAAAGATCTTAATTTCATGGATCTTATGATGGAGAAGACAGATAATTTTGCCAAGGGAAATGAAGTACTATGAGGTGGAAGAGGTAACTAGAAGCACAGAGACAGGATCTATTATCTCTGGGGTATATTAATTAAGGACATCCTAGTAAGGCCATAAATAAAGAGAAAAATATATAACTTATGGATAATTAAGAATTTACTATATTTGGGCCTCCCTGGTGGCACAAGGGGTTAAGATACAACCTGTGAAGCTATCCGCAGCCACTGCAGCATGAGTTCATTCCCAGCCAGGGAGATACCCACATGGCACAGAAGACCTCTCCTGACTCGCCTGCTGTTCCCCTCAGCAGTGTACTTTGGTCAATCTGCCTGTTCTGCTCCCCACTCTGTCTCTGGTGGGTCCGCTCACCTCCTGCACCTCTGACCTGTGCCGCAGTTCTTGTATGCATAAATAGATGAATCTTTAAAAAAAAAGAATTTACTACATTTAAAAACAAGTGAAATAAGGATCTTAACATGTGAATTTCATTCATTCCTTTAATGGAAAGACAAAGTTCCATGAATCTAAGAGGGGTTTTTCTTAGTAATAACAGGGTATATTAGTCTATAACTAATACAGCCAGCTAGCTCAGCAGTGGTAAATTTAAGTAGAAAGCAGGCACATCAGAGGTACTTGATTGTGTTATTTCTAACTGGGCATTTCTGTAGAGCATCCTTACCTTTAAATTTTGTTTTAGACTTGCTTTTATTTTTAAGTTTTGTTTCTTTCCTGGTTATGAAAGTGATAGATACTCATCTTGGAAAAACTGGAAAGTATAGAGATATATTAAAAAAATTTATCCATAATCCTTTAACTCAAAATAAGCCACAGTGAACATTTTGTGCATTCCTTCATGTCTTTTTTCTAAGCAAATTTTGTTACCTAGTTTACATTTTGTAATTGTATATCTTGATTTTTTCACTTACAACTGCAAAATAAGAAATAAATCTATCATTTACTAATAATACACTTGTAACAACTATAAACCAGAGACACACTATGGGGGGGTGGGGAAAGGAGGGTTGGGGTCAAAATAAGGGGGGTGCAATTGTATGGGGAATATAAAATTAAAAAAATTTAAAAAATACACTTGTATAGAAAACACTAAATAATCCATAGATTAAATCAAATAAATAAGAATTTAGTTGTTGATGGATTCAAATCAATTTATAAAAACTATTTGCATTTCTATATGCCAACTGCAAATAGAAATGTATTTAAAAAATAACTAGGGGCCTCCCTGGTGGCCCAGGCGGTTGAACACAGCGCTGTAAAGCTGTCCGCAACCTCTGCAGTGCGGTTCAATCCCTGCTGGCCTCGGAGTAATCCACGTGGCGAGCAGACCTCTCCTGTCTCGCCCGCTGCTCCCCTCAGCAGTGTATTTTGTCAGTCTGCCTGTTCTGTTCCCCACTCTGTCTCTGGTGAATCCTCTCACCCTCTTGCGCATCTGGCCTGTACCCCAGCTCTTGTATAATAAAATAAATCTTAAAAAAATAAAAAATAAATAAAAAAATAACCATTTACAATAATTTAAAAAATATTAAGTCTCTAGGAATAAATCTTACGAAAGTTGTATAAGATCTTTGTGGAGAAAATGATGACATTATTATAAATGACGCTGAAGAAAACCTAAATGGAGCTACATCATAATATATATTGATAGTTAGAATAAAATTCTCCACAAAGTTATCTATAATGTGATTCCAATAAAAATTCTAAGAGCTTTGTTTTGGTTTAACTTGAAAAAAATGTTTAAAAATTTATATAGCTGGGCCTCCCCTGGTGGCGCAGCGGTTGAGCGCTGGGCTGCGAAGCTGCCTGCAGCCTCTGCAGCGCTGGTTCGGTCCCGGGCCACCAGCGAGGGTCCCACATGGTGCGCAGACCTCTCCTGCCGTGCCCACTGCTCCCCTCAGCAGTGTATTTCAGTCCTTCTGCCTGTTTTGTTCCCTGCTCTGGCCCTGGTGAAATCTCTCACCCTCCCGTGCTTCTGACTGTACCCAGTGCTTGTATAAATAAATAAATAAATAAATCTTTTAAAAAATATATATAGCAAACAGTTGAGACAGTCCTGAAGAAGAAAAGGTAGAACTATTTGTCTTATCAGAGAACAGAAATTATAGAGCTCTATTAATAAGATAGAGTGGTTTTGGCACAAGAGTAGACACCAGATATAGATCCCATATGATCCCATTTGACTTATACTAAAGCTTGCATTGCAGATCAATGGCAAAAGGATGGGCTCTTCAGTAAATAGTGCTGAAAAGACAGATTAGATGAGGTCTTATAGATATACATGCAAAAATTCCCGATAGATTAAAAACTTAAATGTAAAAGGTAAAACTCTAAAACTTTTAGAAGACAATGTTAGAGAGTAACTGTATGACCTCATAAGGATTTCTTAAGTACAAAAGGACAAAGGATAGATAAACTTAAGAACTCCTATTCATCAAAGACACTATAAACAAAGGAACAAGTCTCCCAAACCTGTAACAAGCATTACTAACAATGTATTAGTATCCAGAATACATAAATTACTCCTCAAATCCAAGAGAAAGGTGAACAAAAAACTTTAGTAGGCATCTTTTTAGAAATAACCTAAGTGGTTAATAAACTTATGGAAAGATGTTTAATATTTTTAATAATACAGGAAACATTTAAAGCCACAATGAAATGGAATAAAAATACAAAAAATAAGACAGTTCTAAGAAAGACGTCCATGGAAGAAAATACATGCATATCTTCTCATTTCTGTAAAGCAAATTCAGGAAGGATAAACCAGAAACAAAAGAGGTTACTTATGGAGGGTGGATAAGAAAGGGCGTTTAAAGAACGGGACAATGGGAACAAAGTAGGGAAAAAAGGAGAGACTCTTCTTTGAATATATCACTTTATGTATCTTTGAACATAGCAATATTCAAACAAAATCAACCAAGAATGGAGTGGGTGTAGGCAGAGGCATGCCAATTCTTTCCAAACAGTAACAAATGAAAACTAACTTAACCATACTGAAGGGGATGAGGATGAAAAAGAACACACCAAAGTAAACAATCAGTGTTTGGGCTGGATACTGTTATTTT